TAACCCTGAAACGCTATTGTATATTTACTTCGGGAGTTTTTTTAGATCTGGTTTATTTAATTGAGAAATTAGTTTTTTGTAAAGCAAATTCTAGGTTTTGGGTTTTTGAGATAAACCTGTCGATGGCTACTTAATTGAATTTTCTTCACCCCTTGACATGCTGTGATTTATTTACTCAATTTGTTGTTTAGATATGTGTTATTTGCTTGAACACTTGTGTGTTTTTTTTTTAATTTCCCGCCGTTTTTCTTGTTTTGTTCAGCAACAAACTGAACACCATCAGTGCATTATTGTTTGAAGAATGATACTTTTTCCAATGAAAATGTAATGACTAATTATTATTTTGGTTAATATTTGATTTTGAAGGTTTAATGCAAGTGATGGTAAGATGAAACTGAGAGCGATATTCCCATCAAACATGTCATCTGAGATCATTGCAGGCAGTGTTCAGAACAAGGGTCTCGTTAAAATTCTTGATTATACCCTCAATGATATCCCCAACAAATCAGAGAAGTAACTTTTGATTACCCTTCACTGTTTATTTATTTGTTTGTTTTAAAGGTTTCTTAAACATGATGTTTGAAACGTGCACTGCGTTTCAGGTACTTAATTGTGACAAGATGTGAGGTAGTATCTTCTGCACTTGAGACAGAAATCAAAACCGAGGAACCTGATATTGTATTAAAGAAGCCGAAACTTGAACATGAGAGTCAAAATGAGGCTAAAACCGATTTGGCTGGTATTATTTTGAAGCCAAAGCAAGAAGTGGTTTCAAAGTCTGCAGCACAAATAGTACATGAGCAGCGAGAAAAGTATATTTCCTTATTTTTTTTCTGAAGTGCACTCTTCTTGATTGTCATCTATAAGATTTGATTGTTTCTTTAGTAGTGTCTTACATAGTTCTTAAATTAACAGTATGGCTCCAGTTGCCCGTATGTCAATGACTACAAGAGTGCATCCTCTTGTTTCATTGAATCCTTACCAAGGGAATTGGACAATTAAAGTTCGTCTCACAAGCAAGGGAAACATGCGTACCTATAAGAATGCTAGAGGAGAAGGTTGTGTTTTCAATGTGGAGTTAACAGATGAAGATGTAAGCTGCTAATAACTTATGATCTTCTTATGCTGTGTCTGGAGAAACCTTTTAATAACTTGTAGAAAATTGCGTTCTAATTGATTGAATGATTTGTATTTTATAGGGTACACAAATTCAAGCCACAATGTTTAATGAAGCTGCAAGGAAGTTCTATGAGAAGTTTCAACTGGGGAAAGTCTATTACATATCAAGAGGCACACTAAAAGTTGCTAACAAGCAGTTTAAGACTGTTAAAAATGATTATGAAATGACTTTGAATGAGAATTCTGTGGTGGAAGAGGCTTCCGATGAAGAAACATTTATTCCAGAAGCTAAATTCAACTTTGTCCCTATTGATCAATTAGGCCCTTATGTTAATGGAAGGGAGCTTGTTGGTAAGTACTCATTCCTAGAAATTTAAAACATGATGTATTTTAGTCCTTCAATGCTTTGGATTCTTATTTTTTCTTTTTCTTTAATTACTTTGAATTCCAGATATTATCGGAGTTGTTCAAAGTGTCACTCCTGTATCAAATATTAAAAGGAAGACTGACAATGAGAATATTCCAAAGAGGGATATGGTTGTTGCAGATGAAACGTAAATGTCCACTTCTAGACTCCTATATGTTTCCCCCCTTTTAATTATGATTTACCAATGTCGTATGCTTTTGGATGCCAGGAAGAAAACAGTGGTGGTTTCTTTGTGGAATGAGCTTGCAAATGATGTTGGTCAGAAGTTGTTTGACCTTGCTGATACATATCCAGTAGTTGCAATTAAATCACTCAAAGTTAGTGATTTTCAAGGTACTCTAAGGCTGGAGCCTTTCTGACAGAAAACTAGAAATCTTGCATTAAAATGGTTTTCCTGAAATCTGTTTAATGTTTTAGGTGTATCTTTGTCAACATTGGGAAAAAGTACAGTGATGATTAATCCAGATATTCCTGAAGCAAAGAAGTTGAGATCTTGGTAAGTTGATTGTTGCCGAGGAACTACTGGTTATCCCTTTTTTAAGTAGCTTTTTCCGATACAGTTTTTTTTTTCTTCATGCAGGTATGATATGGAAGGGAAAGTGAGTTCCATGGCCAACATTGGAATGGGTTTGAGTCCTTCATCCAGGACTGGAGCAAGATCTATGTATACTGACAGGGTTTCCCTTTCTCATATCACTGGTGACCCATCCTTGGGTGATGGAAAGGTATATTTGTATGAACTACAGGTTTTGTTTCCTCTTGGAGTGGGAATGTGGATTAAAATGTGTTGTTATAAAAGTAATATATATGACATTTCCTTGTAATTGAAAATAATATCGCTTTTGATAGTCAAATATGTTTCATGGGCAGCCTGTATTTTTCAGCATAAAAGCATTTGTTAGTTTGATCAAGCCTGAGCAGGCAATGTGGTACCGTGCTTGCAAAACATGCAACAAGAAAGTAACTGAAGCTGTTGGGTCTGGTTATTGGTGTGAAGGATGCCAGAAAAATGATGAAGAGTGCAATTTAAGGTGAGATGTTGGAATACTTTGAAATTACTGTCAAGTTATTTAGCTGACATTTCTAACGTTTCCTTTTTTGGCATTTCTTAGATACATAATGGTGTCAAAGATATCTGATGCAAGAGGTGAAGCCTGGGTTTCAGCCTTCAATGAAGAAGCAGAGAACATTATTGGATGCTCAGCTGAGGAACTAGATAAACTGAAGTCAGAGGTAAAAGCATTTCTCTGCTGATGAGTTTGTTGTTGTATATGGCATATGTTCATGTTTAAGATGTAGAATATTGACACAGTTCATTGCTATTTTCAGCAAGGAGATGTTGATGGATACCAACAGAAGTTGAAGGAAGCTACTTGGGTTCCTCATCTCTTTCGAGTTAGTGTGGCTCAAAATGAGTATAACAATGAGAAGAGGCAGAGGATAACTGTCAGAGCCGTTGCTCCGATTAACTTTGCTGAAGAATCCAAGTTTTTGCTTGAAGATATCAAGAAGATGACAAATTCTCAGTAGTTTATTTCCGTTTATGTTTGTAAATGATGGATTCAGTAGGGGTTATAAATTAAACTTTCAGTTTGGATCTATCTTATGCTATTCATGAAACAAATTAGGATTAGTTTTCTTTTGTAATGAACCCTTTGAAATCTTCAATTATCTGTGTTGGTATTTTCTTCCTATATAGCTTTTTAAGTTTAAACCTCCCCTGTGGCCTTTAGTCAGCTCGGTTAAGCAAAACCACGCAGCAGCTCAATGTCCCTAAGATAGAAAGGTAGGGACGAGCACATTATTTTATTTTATGAGGATGACAGAGTGAAATATATTTTTAATAGAAAATGCAATGAAAAATATTTAAAATATATAAGAATTTAAAATTTTATGGGACAATGAGGATAGGCATCGGGTTTTTGGTCCACTCGACCCGAGATCAAGGAATCCTCTACTCGAGACCTGATCCGATCAAAACAAGATTTCACCCGACCCGATAAATAACTTAAAAACCCGACTCAAAATAATAAAAATATTATTTTTATTTAATAAAAACGACTTAATTGAAAAAAATAATATGTAGAGAGATATTATTGTAATTATTCTTAAATATATAAGGTAAAATTATAAATTTTTTCGGGTCGGATTGGGTCGAGTCGGGTATTTTCACCTTAAACTCGAACCCGACCTGAACCTAATTTTTTTTTAAAATAGCCCGACCGGACCCGATCGGGTTGGGTCGGAACCCGTTGAGTTCGGGTTCTATACTCATCCCTAGGACGATCACCCTCACCTTCCCCTCTAGGTCCATCCTTGGGAAAAGGCAAGCTTCCCATCAAAAGCCTCCATAGTGTTGCAATAACATCATATGGATGGCAAAAGCAAAAAACCCTATTCTTTAGAGCCTTTTGCCATGCAGCAATGGCCGAATTGTTTGAGGTTTCTTCCTCATTCACGTGGTTGTTTTTCTGTTGAAACAAGTATGATTCTTCTGGAGCCAGATGCATTTGCCAAGCAAGTGGCATGGGGATGTTTGTTTTGAGGCAAAATCATATTGTGGATCAAAGCAACTACTTTAGAAACACCGATACTAATAAGCCCTTAGTTTTAAAAGATGCAAGGCGTTTCGAGGAGTAAAGAGTCTCTAGAGTCTAGACGCAAGACGAATGCGTGCGCCTCTTATAGACAAGGAACACTTCTGTACTAAAATATTTAAATCAATTATATAACATTTTCTACTCAAAATAAAATGATCGATATTAAAATATTCAATATTAATCAATTACTGATGTTTAAAATGATATAAATTCAATTCAATAAATATAGATAAAAGATAATATATTACGCATTACAAATTCACTGCTTTACGGCATAATTTGAAAAAAGATAACGTAATAAATAACAGATTCGAAAAAGATGGCATTAATGCTATTAACTATTGCTATATCTGCATAATTTGGGAAAAAATAATGATCTCATCTATATATATATATTTTTTTGCATTTCTTAGAGAATCGATAGGGTTATGCAGGTTGACAGAAATGAATAAAACAAAGAGAAAGCACAGTGAGAGTGTGCGACGGAGAAGAAAGATAACCTGGTGGTTGACAGTTGGCGACTGACAGAATGTGACGGTAACGTGGTGGCTGCGCTGTGATGACGAGAGAGGCAGAGACTGCCTTTTTTTAATTAATTTTCCCCTCTCCAAAGGCGCAGTTCTGGAAAAGCATTAATTCTTGAAAAGCGCTAAAAGCATAAAAAGCGCTAAAAGCATAAAAAGCGCTAAAAGCATAGGAAGCGTGCGCCATTCACCGCCTCGCCTGTGCTGCCGGAGGCAATTTTTCCGGCACCCACCTGGCACCCGGCACACCTAGGCACGCTTTTTAAAACTAAGTACATGCCTCAAAGCTCTAAAACAAATAAACTAAAATACTTTCAGAAATGATGGGAATGGGTGCATTTCGTTCAAATTCCACAATATTTAGAAGCATAAATGAGGAAACTACATGAAAGTACTAACGTTATTTGAAAATCATCATCGAGTATATAGTTCCCTAACTTGATGCACAAAAGTATCAAATGCATACATTTCCAACTGCTTTAACGGATAAAACTAGTGTGCCATTGGAGTAACCACAAATGAGACCTCGGAAACTCTTAGTCAATCTAATTCCTTATACAGCCATAAGATCGCCGTAATTGCGCATTAAAGAATCGATCCAGCAAATAATCCAGCAGCTCGCAGCAGTTTCTAACCAAAAAAAGAGAGGATAAAAACATACATTGTTTTTCAGTTGGCAAATGGAATTAGATAATTAATACATAAAAGGAAATGCAATAATATAAGAGAAACATGATTGTACTGTGAAAACTTTTGTAAAGCATGATCAAAGTACACTACTTTGGAGTGCACTCTTTTCTCTATGAATACAGTTAGGCTATATAGACTAACATGCACATTTCAGATGTAAAGGAATCTATTCTCATTGATGTGGCTTGTAAATCAATAAACAATTCTGGTCTTGAATAGTTAAGAATGATCGAGTAATTAAATAAAATGAATATTCCTTCCGAGATAAAGTATATCACAAACAGTAGACATCTTAAATATGAAGTCATTTAAATGTGTTCATGATGGTTTTAGTGCGATATGAGCTCATAATGCTGCCATAAGCTCGCCACAGATATTTGGTCACTCTCACTACATGCCAATATAAATCGAAATTCTGGATGATGGATGCCATGACAATGAAAATTGGAACAGGGAAGCTCTACAAAAGGTTGGTTCTAAACATCTTCAGATAGGAAAAAGGAAGGTATTTAAATGATACAGCCTATATGCTGCTCATTCCCAAACGTTCAAGCAAATTGACTATACTCAAATGACATATACTCATCAAGCCTTTCATAGACCTCTTCCCCTGTTTTATATAATCTCGTAGAATATTTCAGAGAATGTTCAAGGGATATAAAATGACATTCAAATTTTCTTGGGTCACTGTTGTCAGAATGTTTGAAATCCATTTCCTAGAAAAGGATATTTGTTAAAGCTTTTAGCTTATCATCATAGAAAAGCTTTCAAACCCCCTCGTGTTGCTTGAATTCGAGTGAGTGTCAGATTGGGTATGCGCTCAATACAGATATATGTGTATTTTTTTCTAAGCTTTTAAGGGTATCTGAAAGGTCAAATATAACAGCCATATTGTGAAAAAGCTTATAGATCATTTTCTTTCGAAAACTTTCAAAAGTGTTCACCAAAATCAATGGAGCTTGAGATCATAATAAACATTTACATAGATTTGCCAGGCCACAAAAACCAATACTTTTCCCAAAAATGGAAAACAGAGTTAATTATGTAAACAACAAATCCAACTAATGAGGAAACTTCTTATCCTCCAGTAAATCTCTTAAGGTAGTCCTATATTCTCTATACAATTTGATCCTTTAGAGAACCCTTTTCGTGATTTCAGTAAAGAACTCAGTTAAGACAGTGAGAGTAGCATTCATGTAATCAACTAAAACAATGAGAAATTCCAGACTCTCAAAAACCAAAATAATCTTCAAGAACAAAAAAAAAACCCGTTTTCTTCCACCTTTCCCCCCTTTTCTTCATCAGTTGAGTAGAAATCTGGCATTCTAAATAAATTCCCATAAACCCAATATCGTAAAAAAAAAATTACGCGCTCAATCAAACGAAAGAGCCGAGAAAAGGTTGAAAACTATGGAAAGAAAAAGAATAATAGAAGATAAATAAAATGAAATACCATATTGTGAGACCAGTTTTCTTCATCGTGGACTTGGGAGTGCCAGAAAGCTCTGAGCTTATCGAGAGAGACCACGGTGTCCGCCATTGCTGCTCTGATTAAGAAGAAAGAAAAGAAAGCTTTTTGCTTTTCAGAATCAGAGATTGTTCTTTGGTACCTAAATGCGCTTGGGTAAGGTTTTAGGGTTTTATTGTTAAGAACGAAGTGCTCCAAATTTGAAATATATTAAGAAATTATTTAGATAACTCTTATCGTGATATTTATGATGTGTCAGCCAATTACATTAATCAACTTTTAAGGTATTTATGGATAGAATAAACTACACAAACAGTCACTAAACTTTGAATAATTTTTCATTTTACCCACTTAACTTTCAAAAGTTACAAATTATTCACTAACATTATTTTTTTTTTGAATGGAAGAAAACTCTCAACATCACTAACATTATTGATTGTAACAAAATGGCCACTCGACGTTAACAGTCGTTAACTTCGATGATGGAAAGCTGAGCTGGACCGTTAAACACTTAATTGAACAGTTAGGTACCACGTTGGAGGGCCCATTTGACTATTATTGACTGACTCTTCATCTCATTGCAACATCAAAAGCTCCATCCACTAGCAACTTGCCCATCGCCACCTTCATCTCTCTCACTTTTCTGCTGTTTGCTCACACTCCTCATCATCTTCTCTTCATGTGAGCAGCTTCCTATAACCAGTCATGGCGGCCTCATGAAACAAGAAGTTGTCTACGTCAAGCAACACCAGGTTCTCTACTACAAAGATGAGTTCGACGACAAAGGGGAAGCGGTCACCGTCGATCCATTGCTCATTTTTAAAACCCAAGTCTTAGAATGCAACTACACCGACGTTTACCGTGCTCTGACGCCGAATAATGGCACGATCAGAATCTTCACCGGCATAAATTGAACCATGGTGATATCATTGGGTACTTGTCGGAAAAGATTGGGTTGCTTACTGATCTTGCATTGTTCCATATCGACTTAAGACATAATTCAAGACATGATCACATGACATGAATTCAAGATAGAATTGTAAGTCCTTATTGAGAAAAGGAATTCCCAAAGCCTTCACTTTTTGCTGCCAATGAGCTATTTTGGAAAATTTTGGAAAATTTTGTAAAAGCGTTATACGACGAAAGAACCATATTTGAGCAAATAATATCCACTTCAAATCCTTCCATCTCCATCTTGTTCACCATTCTCTCCATATCTTTAAAACATTATGTTTTCCATACCCGTACAAAAGAAACCTAAACTCAAACAATGAAGGCTTAACCCCATTTTTCCATATTTTTAACCACATTCTCAGCCTCATTAGGCTGAACCATTTCACATAAGCAACTAACTATTGCTTTATAACCTTGGCGTTTGACATACACCGATGAAGAATTACAAACAAGTTCAGACAAGTAACCATAAGCCTCATTAAACCCTTGCTTTGATTCATGTTTAGAACAAGACTATATCAAATTGCAAAAGAATTGAGCAAGATCTCGCTCTCGAGACATTAGCTTTGAAATAGCTTGAGAGATTAAAGCTTCGGATTCATCGTGCTTACCTTGTATATCCAGCAAAGGAATTAACTCTGCAACTAACTTTGGGTTCCAATAGTATTGGAAAAGTAAAAATGTTGGGAAACTTTCGGTGTGAAAATGGTGTATTTATTGCACCGAATTCAAGCTGACAATTGTTGAAAAGTGGATGGAAATGCACCAAATTCAAGTTGACAATTGTTGAAAAGTGGATGGGGAAATTGTATTTTAGTCCATGCATACTTTAAAGTATTTACAAGATTAGTCCATAAGCTTCAACTATAAATACCCTTACCCATTTAGCTTCAAAATCATCCCAAATCATTTTTTCTCCCAATACTAGAGAGTTTTCTTGTGAGTTGAGAGTGTTTTGTAAACACCTGTAAATTTTCTCTCTTTAGTAAAAGATCTACAGAAGTCCGGAGAAGTAGACATAATTACTCCGTTATCAATTTCGAGTATTATTTTTCCGCTTGTATTTCACATTCTTACTAATCTAGTTATAGAGAAATTACTCGTTCTCATTTTATTTTCCAACAACTGGCATCAGAGCTTTTAGTTATGAATTTTGAAAATTTTTTGTGAGGTTACTATTCATGTAAATAGTAATTTTCGTGAATAGTAAAATTTGGTGGGCGATACGAGTTTGACGGAGGTGTTCTAATACACGGTGGTTCGCAGAAATTATCAGAAACGATCCAAAAAAAGCCAGATTCGAGTGGGAGCGATGGCTGCAAACGAAGGGAAGGTGAAAATTGAGAAGTTCGATGGTGCAAACTTTGGCTTTTGGAAGATGCAAATTGATGATTTTCTGTACCATAAAAATCTATATCAACCTCTCTCAGGAAAGCAACCAGAGGGCATGAAGAATGTAGGCTGGGCTCTTCTCGACAGAAAAACCCTCGGAGTTATCCGACTGACGTTATCCTGCAATGTTGCTTTCAACATAGCAAAGGAAAAGACCACGGCAGGTCTTATGGCGGCTTTCTCCAGTATGTATGAGAAGCCATCGGCCTCAAAAAAAGATCACTTGATGAGGCGATTATTCAATTTACAGATGGCGAAAGGTGCATCAGTGGCTCAACACCTAAATGAACTCAACACAATCACAACCAGTTGAGTTCTGTGGAAATTGAATTCGATGATGAAGTTCGATCTTTAATTCTCTTATCATCTCTACCAGATAGTTGGAATGCTACTGTTACAGTAGTCAGTAGCTTGTTGGGAAATAGTAAATTGTTTGATGATGTTCGAGATCTGGTATTGAGTGAAGAAATGCGACGGAGAGAATCGGGTGAAGCATCAAGCTCATCAGCCTTGCACACGGAGTCTAGAGGGAGAACTTCAGAAAGAAATCTAAATCGTGGCAGATCAAATTCTAGAAGGGGAAAATCAAGAATGGGAAAGAAAGATTTTAACTGTTATAATTGCGGCAAGAATGGTCACTTTAAAAGAGATTGCCGAGAACCGAAGAAAGATACCAGCGCACAGGAATCTGTAAACATGACAGAGAAGACAAGTGATGCCATGATTCTAAGCGTCAATAGTCTGATTGAATCATGGATCTTGGATTCAGGGGCATCTTTCCACTCCACCCATGCCAAGAAATTATGGAGAACTATGTTAGTGGTGATTTTGGGAAGGTTTATCTAGCTGATGATGAAACCTTGAAGATTGTCGGAAAAGGAGACATCCGATTAAAGTTGCCAAACCAGAACACTTGGAAGCTGAAAGGAGTGAGACATATTCATGGCCTCAAAAGAAATTTGATTTCTATAGGACAGCTTGATGGAGAAGAATATAATATAACATTTTCAGGATGTGAATGGAAGATTACTAAAGGAGCACTCGTCATTGCTCGTGGTAAGAAGAATGGTACTCTCTATGTAACCTCAAATTTAGTGAATATCATTGTAGTAGCAGATGCTGATGGAAAATCAAACCTATGGCACCAAAGGCTTGGCCATATGAGCGAGAAAGGGATGAAGAAACTTTTTTCAAAAGGGAAGCTACCGGATCTAAGAATATAGATGTCGAACTATGTGAGGATTGCATCTTTGGCAAACAAAAGAAAGTAAGTTTTACAAAGATTGGCAAGACACCCAAGGCTGAAAAGTTAGAGTTGGTTTATACTGATGTATGGGGACCATCTCCAGTTCCATCTCTTTCAGGCTCACTATATTATGTCACATTCATCGATGATTCTACGAAGAAGATGTGGGTTTATTTTTTCAAGAAGAAATTAGAAGTCTTTGATACCTTCAGAAAATGGAAGGCCATGGTAGAAAATGAGATTGGTTTGAAAGTTAAGCGGTTGAGGTCTGATAATGGAGGAGAGTACAAAAATAATACATTCAGAGATTTCTGCGCAAACAATAGGATCAAGATGGAGACAACAGTTCCCATGACACTGTAGCAGAATGACATAGCAGAGTGCATGAATAGAACTCTGAATGAACGTGCCAGAAACATGAGGATACATGCCGGATTGCCCAAATTGCTATGGGTTGAAGCTATCAACACTGCAGCTTACCTGATCAACCATGGGCCCTCAGTTCCCTTGGATGGTAGAATACCAGAGGAAGTTTGGAGCAGAAAAGAATAAACCTTTCACACTTAAGAGTGTTTGGTTGTATTTCTTATGTACACATAAATTCTGCTGAAAGAAATAAACTTGATGTTAAGTCCAACAAATGCGTCTTTGTTGGTTATGGTGGTGATAAGTTCGGTTACCGATTTTGGGACTACAAAAATCAAAAGATCATCAGAAGCAGAGATATCATTTTCAATGAGAATGTGATGTACAAAGATAGGTCAACCATAGAATCAAGTAGCTCCAATACCGAAGTTAAAATAAAGGAATTTTCACTACTTGTTGCTGACTGACAATGGTGAACCAGAGTGCTATGATGAAGCAATGCATGTAGAGGATTCAGTCAAGTGGGAGTCTTCCATGAAATATGAGATAGACTCGCTTATGTCAACAAAGACGGTGACTACGGACAAACTGAAGTTGTGTTCAGCTTCAGTTGACATGCTAGAGTAACAAGACCAGAAATGATGCTGCATTGATAGAGGTGTGAAGACAGATTAAAATCAGTCTTCAAGTGGGAGATTGTTGGAAAAGTAAAAAATGTTGGGAAACTTTTGGTGTGAAAGTGGTGTATTTATTGCACCGAATTCAAGCTGACAATTGTTGAAAAGTGAATAAAAATTCACCGAATTCAAGCAGACAATTGTTGAAAAGTGGATGGGGAAATTGCATTTTAGTCCCTACACACTTTAAGGTATTTACAAGATTAGTCCCTAAGTTTCAATTATAAATACCCTTACCCATTTAGCTTCAAAACCATCCCAAATCATTTCTTTCTCCAATACTAGAGAGTTTTCTTGTGATTTGAGAGTGTTTTGTAAGCACCTGTAAATTTTCTCTCTTTAGTAAAAGATCTGCAGCAGTCCAGAGACATAGGCATAATTGGTTGAACTCTGTTATCAATTTCGGGTATTATTTTTCCGCTTTTATTTCACATTCTCACTAATCTGTTATAGGGAAATTACTCGTTCTTGTTTTATTTCCTAACAAATAGTACCTTGATGTTTCAGTTATCCTATTATACAAGGGAAATGTGAGGGTGTGAATTGCGGGGAGAGAAGATGAGA